TGACAGATTCCAGACTTCACAGAACAAATCCCCTTAATAAAAGGATTTGTTCTATAAAACTTGGACTCAGTCAAAAGGCTGCACTCAAGGACCTAGAAGGCCATATGTGGCCTCAAGGCCGCAGATTCCCCACCCCTAAGTACTCAAAGGAAAAGTTAACCAAATGACTACAAAATTATAATAGCTGCATACCTCAATGTGACCCTTTTAGATCTGGACACACATCTAACAAAAAGATAAATAAGAAAGTTAAGGACCTGAATAGAATTTTTAAAAATTGAATGTTATTTATTGATCCTTGGCAATTATTAAATGGGAATAGAAAGAATTATACATATCACTCAGCTGTACATGGCACATTTACAAAAATCAAATGCGCTATGGCATTAAAAAAAAACCCTCCAAAATCCAGAGAAGGAAAAGTATTTTAAGTAGATTTTTATTTTTACCTTTTGTTTTTATATCACCTACATTTTCTCCTACATCCCTTCCCTTCCTTCAGAGAGCCATTCCTTATAAAAAAAGAATTTCTTTTAAAAGGAAGAAAAAAATTTACAAAAACAACACATTTTTTAAAAATGATGTCATGTAATGTCCCACACCTGTGCCCCTCAAAAGAGCCAGGGGGGATGTGTCTTTTTGTATTTTTTTTTGGAGACTGGTTGGAGCAATATCTAACCTGTCACTCCTATACAAATTAGGAGAGTTTTTCCTTAAAGGATATTGAAACCGCCCCCCAAGACTTAATTGGTTCAGGGGACTAAAGGCTAAGGCTGTTGATATCACCTGGTCACTTGAGTATGAAACAGCTGTGAAGAGCTGGAGGAGCTGGAGAGCATCATGGACCACTTGGAAGGGGAGTTTCACTCAGGATGAATCAGCCTGTTGTTAACCATTAATAGCCTAGGAGTGTCTTCTGTCATTCCATTATCACACAAAAACTAGCAGGGGACTGGCCTGAGGAAGGGGCCAAGCACAGTCTTTCTAATTTCACCACACACAACTTCATTTGTTTCATGGTTGTTCTTTCCATTTATTGTAGTCATTGTGTATATTGTTCTCCTGGCTCTGCTTATTTCACTTTGCATCAGTTCACAGAAGTGTCTTATGATACATTAATACTTTACTGCATTCATGAACTACAATTTACATAGCCATTCCCCACTTCATTGGCATCTACTTTGTTTCCAGTTCTTTAACACAAAAAGTGCTGCTCTAAATATTTAGTGTCTATGGAGCCCTTTTTAAGCCACTATTTGCATACTTCCAAATTGGAAAAATGAAGCATCTTTGCTTTCCCATAACAGTAAAAAAAATAATCAATAAAGAGCATTTGAAGAAAGGAGTCAAACTTAAATGGAGACTATAATCCTAAAGGGTAAGTGGATCAAAAAACAAATCATAAAAACAACAGCTAATTTCATAAAATAAAATAGAAACAATAAACAACATATGAAGACAGCCCCAATATAGTCCTTGGGGAGAAGTTTATATCTTGAAACACTTACAACAAAAGAAAAATAATAGATCAATGATATAGGCGTGCAACTTTTTAAAAAAACCAGAAAAGCCACAAATCAGAAAACCTCAACTAAGTACAAAAATAAAAATTCTGAAAATAAAAAAAGATGAGGAAATGAAGATAAAAAATGTGTTGAGTTGATACATAAGCCAGGAGCTGGTAATTTGGAGAGAAAACAAACAAACCCTGATAAACAGCTTATTTAATTAAAAAAAATAGAGGAAACCCAAAGGGGCAAAAACAAACAAAAAAAAAAGCACAAAAAATAAAATTATTATAAACTGTTTTGGTCAATTTTATGCCAACAAAAATGATAAATGAAATGTATTACTATTTGTAAAAGTGCAAAATGTCCAGATTAACATAACAAGAAATGATTTAAACAACCCCTAAAGCTTTGTTTTAAGTAACAAAAAAACCCTTTAATTTTAATGGATTATTATAGGTATAAATGGACATTTCCTTAATTTTGATAAGCAATATCTCTCTAAAACCAAAAGCTAATATTATCTATAATGGAGGAATGCTAGATGCCATTCTAGTAATATTAGGGGTAAAACAAGGATGTCTCTACCATACACCATTATTTTCTGATAAAGTTCTTGAAATTCTCACTATAGCCATGATACAAGAAAAACTGAGGGACTAAGCATAAACAAAAAAGAAGGCAAAATTATCACTTTTTCAGATATTTCACTTAGAAAACCCTAGAGATTCAACTAAAATTGATTAAAACAGTAACTATATGGACATAAAATAAGCCCACAAAATCATCAGCCTTTCTATATATTACCAATACAACCCAAAGACACAGAAAAAGAAATTCCATTCAAAATTGCTACAGTATGTATAAAATATCTCAAATTCCACTTACCAAAACAGAGGAATTATATTAACGTAACTACAAGACAGTTTCCAGAAATACAAGAAGACTTAGATAACTGAAGAGATACTAATTGTTGTTGAGTCAGGCCAACATAATAAAAATGGCAATACTACCCAAATTAATTTATAGATTTATTGCCATAGTAATCAAACTACCAAATAACTATTTTATAGAACTATACATAATAATAGCAAAATTGTAGGAACAAAATATTAAGAAGTTCAAGATGAAAAAAATGGGAAGGAAGGGAGCTTAGGAGCAATAGATCTCAAACTATACTATAAAGCAGTAATCGTCAAAACAATCTTGTATTGGTTAAAAAATAGAACTACTGAGATAAGGACTCACACTATATGACAAAAACTGCTGGGAAAATTAGAAAGCAGTTTGGGAGAAATTGGGTTTAAACTGGCGTTTCACACCACACACCACAATAAACTCCAAATGTGTCCCTGACCTCGATGTAAAAGGTCATGTAAACAAATTAGGGGAGAAGGAAGGAGGTACCTGTAACAGCTATGAAGAGTTCTTGACCAAACAGGGAATAGAGATATTCTATTATCTGAAAGGTAAAATGACAGTTGTGATTTTGTAAAATCAAAATATTTTTGTACAAACAAAATGAATGCAGTTAGAACTTGAAAAGAAATAGTTGAGTTGGGAAAAATTCTCTGATTAAAAAAAGCTAAATATCCAAGACACAGGGAACTGATACAAATACATAAGAACAAGAGCTATTCCCCAATAGATTTAATAAATTATCAGGTAATGTGAATGGGCATATCCCAAAAAAATAAAGGTAAGCTATCAACAACACATGGGGGAGGGGTCCAAATCATGAATAATAAGAGAAAGGCAAATTAAAATGACAGTTTCAATTTTACCTTCATCAGACTGGTGAAGATGGCTAAAAAGAAGGTAAATGACAATTGTGGGAAGATTGACCACAGCTGTCCTGTTGGGGAAGGTGTGAATTGGTCCAACTAGATTGGAAAGCAATTTGGAAGTATATCCCCAAATTCATTAAACTCTGCATACCTTTTGACCTAGGGATACCATTTCTAGGCAAATACCCTCGAGAAGCTAAAAATAGATGGAAAGGACTCATATATATATATATATATATATATACACACATACACACACATACGAAAATATTTATAGCAACACTTTGTTGTAGCAAAAAACTGGAAACAAAATCTAATCAAATTATGGTATTTGAATGCAACATAATATTGTGCCTTAAGAAATGACAAAAAAAGACGGATTTGGAGAAACACAGGAAAACTTGCATAAACCGATGTGCAAAGTGAAATGAACAGAACCAGAAGAACAATTTCTACAATGACCCCAATATTGTAAGGGAAAACAACTTTGAAAGACTTCAGAACTAATCACAACTTTATATATATGACTGATGACGAAGGGTTCGTCCTACCTTTTGGCACGGAGGTGGTAGTCTGTGGATGCAGAATGGAACGTTTTCAGATACAGCCAATGCATCTTTGCTTTACTTAACTAAACTTTTAGTTATATGGAGAATTAGGTGGAGGGGTTAGTGATAGTAATAAGAAAAATTATATTAAAGAAAAACATCAATGAAACACTTAAAAAACAGAAGAAATCAGAAATGTTTAGAAGGGGAGAGAGAGTAGCAGGACAGCGTTGATACAACCATGTTAAATTTGATCTATGCTTGGAAAAAAAAAACAAATGTGATAGAGATTAACAGTTCCATATACAAACTTTTGCTGCTCCTCGTATATGAAAATATTCATGTTTGTCAAATTTATGAAAAGGGAAAGACGAGACCCAAAAAATTATGAGAGATTAGCTTGTTTGGCAAGCCTGGATGGACTTAAACAAACAAAAACCCCAGTGGACACATTTTTAGATTATGGCACTAAGGATTCACACGGCCGGGGCCGCAGGGGCCAGAAGAGTCACACTGATGAATGTGATCGGTCTCCATCCTTCCTCCCCGACCTTCTGGTTCCAGTTCACACCACAGCCTTGACTGACCTGCGTGCTGGGGTTCTGAACAGCGGCATAAAGAGTGCTGGAGGTGGAGTTAGGAGACGGGGAGGGGATTCAGTCTGTCTCCACGACTCTTCCTCTCTCTGGTCCCGTTTCTTCTTTCTAATGGGGTAAGTGTGTAATAATGCTCGCACCGCCTACCTCACAGAGTCATTGGAAGGAAATGATAATAAGCTTGGACATTTCCAGAGCAAGTTAAGGTTGACAAAGGGCTTTTCTGTTCACTTGGAGTCTCGTTGCAACGCTGGGGGTGGGGACTATAGCGATTATTCTTTCCACTTTGCAAATAAGGAAATTGAAGTTAACAGCTACTAATAGGCAAAGGCAGCACTTGAACTCAGATCTTGACTCCATCTGTGTTGCATCTATTACAACAAAGGAAACCTTAAAGCACTTTTACAAATGTGGCTCATTGTCACCATGTAATTTTATAACAAACACAGGGAGCCTAAGAGAACAAAAACTCGCTGTATCTGATGTGGAAGGAGAACAGAGATTAGGAAGGAGGAGACTGTATTTCAGAGAAGTGGATTTTATTGTGTGTAGGTTGTGCAATATGGTCAGTTCCAAAATCTATATGGTTGATACATTCAATGTATTACAAGATTACATGACTAATAGGGAAACACACATGTAACGGGCAGGATGTCATACACTGTACGAGTCAGCTCTCAAAAAACGTGTCCTCCCAGAGGAGGCCGGATTCCTTTGCTCCAGAGATGTGGAAGGAGAACCAGCAGCGGGGCAAGAAAACATCTCCAGGGACATTCCTGCGCAGGGATGAGCATCCAGTGATAAGCACGTGCTTAAGGACCCCCATGGCTGCAACGTGGTTAGCAGCGGCAGAAGCCATTTTACGGGGACACAAAAACCCAGGGCAGTAGACAGAGAGGACAGTTGTCCAGGAGGAAGTCGTGCTGGATCTACAGTGTGAATGCTTCCATCCATCCATATCTCCCATAAAGGATCTCTGTCCAAGAGGACAGCAAAAACACAGATGTGTCATTAAATCCTGATTTAAAAAAATCTCCATAGACCTGCCCACAGTTTCTGAGAATGCAGGTCTTCTCTGTGATCATTTAAGAAGATGGTCTTCATCACTATGAAAAAAAATGCGTGCTGCCCACACAGCCGAGGATTGGACAGCAGTCATAGGTAGTGTCAAAGGGCTTCGAAGTCAACGTGTTCACCCTATCGCTTTACTGATGAAGAAAATGAGTCCCAGAGAGGCAGACAGGCTGACACAAAATTACCTAACTTGCTCCTTATAGCTCCCTCCTCCCTACCTCCGGGCAATCTTTGCTCTGGCCATCTCCATTTCCTGCCAAAGTGCTATATGTTGTCTAAATTAAAAAGAACTGAAATCCTTTTTTTTTTTCTCCTTAAAAAACAATTTCAAATCACCCCTTTAAGATAATAGGAACCGACTTGGGCCAACACAGAAGGTCAATAAAACAGATTTAAATCCAGACTGTTATGCTCCACCCCTTCAGCAGTGTATAGCAACAATGAACTGGTTATAAACCACTGAGCAAAAGCGAGTCAACGAGAGTAAACGAACAGCCTTTATTCCTTCCGCACCCTGGAATCCCCACATCAGGGGTGGGCAGCAATCCTCCCTACCTGGTGAAAGGGGAAAGTGTTTTGTTCATTGAGGTGAGTCAGGGACTTTGCTGCCTGGGTCCGGTCTTCAGGGAGACACTGACGAGCCGTCTAGCCATGCTGATTCCAGTCCCGGCAATGCATGCATTTGACATCGTCATTTGGGGTCCGTGTCACAAAGTAGGATCCCAATGGCACCAGCATGCAGTCTACAGACATGTGCACTGCATGGCATATTCCTGGCCCTATTTGTGATGGATTTGCATGAAACATGCAGAACGTTCATCCTCCTGCACAGAATAAGCCATCTGTAGCTCCAGTCAACGGAGACATCGCTATTGTTAATGCTGTGGGGACAGATATCAGATCGCATTTGACCCTTCTTTACAGGACAGAACAAAGACCTCTCTAGACAGACTGACTGCAAGACGATTCATGGGCCTGTTGGACTCACATGGAGAGAAATCAGGAGCTCTCATCTGCAGATACGACAGTAAGACACACAAACGTTCATACACCTGGAGAGGTGTCACAAACAGTTCACTCAGGAAAGATGAGAAACACAGAGACATCATTTTCAGTGGCAGAACCTACAGATTGGACACCAGGTTTCCCGAAGGACTGAGAGAAGATGACAGACTGCACCCAGGTAGGAAAACCACATCTGTGAACTTTACAAGACAATGGTGTGTGTGTGGGGAGGGGGGTCACCAGGACTGGATCATGAAGCTCAGCTCAGAGAAATGGAACCAACAGAGAGAAAAGAAAGGCTGGGACGCAGACACAGGCTCCCCCTTCAAGTCAATGCCAGAAAAGGGACACCAGCCTCAGGAGAGTTTTTCTAGCTCGTCCAGAAAGGTCTCAGTAAGCCTCTGTTTTCACAGGGGTCAGAATAAGAACTGACCTTTCATCTCTTTTTTGAGGCTGGCTCTCTATAGGAAGTCTAAGGGAGACAGTGACTGCTCAGGCTGGGGCTGAACCAGCCTCTCCCCAGGGAGGGATGGCTGCGTGCCCTCTGCAGTTCTCCTACATTCCAAGAGCCTTCTGGGGCCGACCAGTGGCCAAGCGTCCCTTCCACAGCAGCGCGGGAGAATCGCTGCGTCAGTGACTGGCATCTTTGGCACTTCATGTCACTGATGCTAAGTCTGTACTGTTGTGTGGTCCTGACCCTGCTCAAAGTCAGAAGAGGAGAGAAGAGTGTTGTTGTGACCTCCACGCTGGGCTATATACCCAGAGACAGTCAAAAGCTGCAGATCAAAACTCAATTCAAACAACACCCCCAAAAGTCTGTGTATGGATAGCACTAAACTGAGGTATCATTGTCTTATCACGTAGTTTTCTGAGAGATGGAGACTCGTCGCTGTTTTCCAGTTAATTTGCCTTTACAGTTGGGTGGCAGACCAGCTCCCACGAATGAGCCTATGAGATGCCATCTACGTTTTGGATTAAGACAAGGATACAGTGGTCCATTTTTCTTCCAGTCAGAACTAATTAAGCATACATCTCCAATAGCCGTCAGCAGCAAGATGGTTGGTTTTTGTTTTCTTCATGCAGAGATTTGGCATGACTATGCCAGTCTGAGTTGGTGTCATGGCAGCTGCTGTCCATTCCACAGGGGATACCGCCCACCCTGCATCCCTTCATGTGAAATAGCGACATGGTGTAGAGTCAATGTAGCAGTGTGAAGTACATCTCAATTCCCCATAGGACCTGAGGCGAGAAAGAAAACACTGGGTCAGAAAGAATTCCATGGGTACCATGGGACCTTAGGATTTAAGAGCTGGAAGGAACCTGAATGATAACAGCTAGGAGCATTAAGAGCTTTGCAAAGACCCTCTCAATTCATCTTCGGGACAACTCGGGGCGGTCGGTGCTATTCTCATCTCCATTTTACAGATGAGAAGACCGGGAGATTGACTTGCCAGGGCTACACAGCCAGTAAGCAGCTGCAACGGGATTTGAACTCCTGAATCTGAGCCCAGCACCCTATGCACCAGACCACCTGGATACCTTCTTAAGGATCATCTAGTCCAAGTGCTCTTAACCCTTTTGGGTCATGGACCCCTCTGGCAGTGTCCAGTGAACCCTGTAGTCCCCTTCTCAAATCCTCACTTCAAATGCATAAAATAAAATACAGAGCATTGCAAATGAAACCAATTACATTGCAATGCAGTTATCTAAATATTAAAAACAAGTTCACAGACCTCTCAGAAATTTAGCCATGTCCCTCTTAGGAATCCATGGACCCCAAAATAAGGACCCCTGGTCTAGAGCAACATTCTCACATTTTAAAGATGAGGAAAAACCAGCCCAAACAGGGGGAGTCAAAGAACTGGGATTGGAACCTGAACTTTTGGATCGAGTGCCCATGAGATGGAGCCTCTCGAGAATCTCCCTCTTGATAGAGGAATAGTTAAAACTAATCAATCAAAAACATTTATTAAGCACCTACTACATACCAGTCACTGTGCTAAGTGCTGGGGATACAAAAAGAGGCAAAAGACGGTTCCTGCCCTCAAGGAGTTTATAATCTAATGGAAGCTCAGTCCATTATCCCAACCTTGGCTTCTCTTCGTTCCCTCCTGTAGTTAATCAGTCCAGCAAGGCACTGTCCTCCTCCTTGGAATTCCCTCCCTCCTTGTTGCCTCGTTCTTGCCCGCCAACTCATCATATTGGTTCACCCCCAGCCGCTGAACAGCGCCGGAGGAAATGACACAACCGAGGAACCCGGTCCACTCTGGATTCTTATCTTGCTTCACCGCTCCCTTGTTCTCACGGTCCTTTTCTTCTTCTTTGGTTGATATTCTATTGCACATCCACAATGGCCTTTCTAAAGGTCTTTCTCTCTTCCGAGGCCCCCAAGTGCACCCCCAGCACTCTTGCAACAAAGGACCCTGGCTCCTGCCCTAGTAAGTACCGGAGGCCCTGCGCGGGACCTCCCTTGCCTCCACTGCTCCCATCTGCCCCCAACTCTCTTCACCTTTACCTTCACTCTGCTGCTCCAGCCTCAGAAGAAGGGGCTCTTCTTTTCTAAAGGTACAAGGTTCGATTGCAAAGTTAGCAGGTAAACACCTCTAGCTTGCAGCCTTGGTCCTATCTCACCTTCTGGGAGTTTGCCTCATTGATTATTCCATCTCTCCCTCTCTACTGAGGCCTTCCCAGCTGCCTGACCACTTGATGAGGTCTCCTCATCCTTAAAGACAAGAAACAAACAAACAAACAAACAACCCCTTCACTCGACCTAACCACCCCCTTGAGCCAAACTCCTGGAGCGGCAGCATCGACCCTAGCTGCTTCCATTTGCTCACCAGCCACCCCTTCCTCACCCCTCGCAGTCTGGCTTTCCACAGAAAACACTTCCAAATGTTACCCATAATCATTCATTTCTCAATCAAGTGACCTTTTCTCAGTCCTCAGCCTCGCTGACCTCTCTCCAGTTTTGGACATTGTTGACCACCCCCTTTTACCTTAGCTTTTCCTTTTTTTTTTTCTTCTTATGTGAGGCAATTGGGATTAAGTGACTTGCCCAGAGTCACACAGCAAGCTATTAAGTGTCTGAAGCCAAATTTGAACTCAGGTCCTCCTAAATCCAGAGCTGGTGCTCTATCCACTGTGCCACCTAGCTGCCCCCAGGGCTGTGCTTTCTTGCTTCTCATAAATACTTATGTGACTATTCCTTCTCAGTCTCCTTTGCTGCATCACCCATCTTCTTGCCCCCCAAAGGCAGATGTCCCCCAAAACTATGTCATGAGCCATCTTCTCTATCTACTCTCCCTTCAGCTCCCATGGATTCACTCATTCTTATGCAGAGGATTTCCAAATATCCATCCATAATCTCTCTCAAACTCTCATCCTGCATTTCCACCCAGATGTTCTGTTGGTACCTCAAACTCAACATCTCCAAATTGGAAGTCACATCTTCCCCTAAACCCGTGCTCCAGATGTCTCTGTTTCTGATGGCTGCACCTTTGTTCATGCTCACTGGGTTTATAACCTCGACGTCCTCGTCGCCCACAGAGCCAATCATTTTGCCGAGTCTTATTGATTTTACCTCCACATGCATCACATGCATCCTTTTTTCTCCACTCACGTACCCACCCCCTGCCTCAGACCCTCATCACCGCTCTCTTCCACACTGAAATGGCCCCTTGATTGGTTTCCACAATTCTGGTCTCTGCACTTATAAGGCACGAGTGATCCTCCTAGAGCACAGGTCTGAGCACGTTACTGCCTTGCTCAAATACATTCAATGGCTCTCTGTGGCCTCTTGAACAAAAGACACGTTTCCTGACCTGGAACGTCTAGTTCTTGACGCCCGGGTTCCTCTCTCCAGCCTCATGTTATACGCTCTACACTCCTGTCCGCCTGGGTGATCAGCTTTCCCTGGACTAAGCATACCGTCACCTGGGGCCTTCCACACTTCCTGCAGACCAGTTCCCGTTTGTCTGGTGTATTCCTGCTCCTCTCTGCCTTTCGGGCTCCTTATTTTCCTTCCAGGAAGCCTTCTCTGATACCCCCGAGGCTGGAGCCCTCTTCCACCTCGACTTTTCCTGGTTCGTCCCAAGCCCCTGCCACCCCGTCTCGCACTGCATTCTGGATGTACAGAGCACATGCCCAGCTCCTGTCAAACGCAGCAGGATGGGGCTCCTGGAGAGCGGGGGCAGTTTTGTTTCTGCCTTGGCACCTTCAGTAGCCCACACAGCACCCTGCACAGAGCAAGCACTTGATCAGTGCTGGTGGATTTAGAGTTTGGAATGGAAAGGAATGGAATCCCAGCCTGGCCCAGGTTCCCACAATCCACCTGAAGGCTCCACAGTCTGGTTAATGAGTAGCTCCTGCTTGCTCGTCTTCCACTGATAGATAGGATGGCTGACAGGAAACAGAAGGTCAGACTGGAGAAGGAGGAATGCTGATGAAGGGACAAATGAGGCTAGTCAATAATGAGGAGATAATGTGGCGCTCCGGAGCCCAGCTCGGCTCCCCAGAATGGCAGCATTCCAGCCAAGGCCATGTGCTGCCCTGGGAGAGCCAGGAGAGCCACCCTTCAGGAATATGGCGGCCATACTCAAGAGCTGGGTTACTGCGGGCAGGCCTTCACCCACAAAGTCAGCAATGTAGCCTCAACAATCTCTGGGGTTCTTCTTTGCTCTCATTCTATACAACCCACCTCTTTCCTTGCCTTGGTGAGGGTTGTGATGTTTTTCTAGTGTAGAAAACCCAACAAATCTACCAAGGAAAAAAGAATGCATTGGGCCCTATTCCTCCACCTCTCTGAAAAAACGCCGCATCCCCTTCATCAATGAAAGGCATTATTCCCATTAGACTCCAAACTTCTTGGCAGCAGGGACTAGGGTTTTTGCCTTTCTTTGTAGCCCTAGTGCTTAGCACAGTGCCTGGCACACAGTAGGTGTTTAATAAACACTCATTAACTTGTTCATATGGAATGCTGAAAACAATGTACCATTTAGCGTAGCTACAGAATTTGAGAGCCTGAAAGTACCTTCAGGGACATCTATTCCAGCCCCTCCTTTCTCAGATAAGGTCACTGAGGCCCAGAGAATGCAAAGCAATGGTGTGGCTCCCCTCTACCACGCTGCCTGTCTCGTCTCCTTCACTAAAGTCCCACTGTGACCTCCTGACAGAAGATGGAGAACACAGGCTGTCCATGGGTCAGCTAGTCCCCTCTCTCATCTGGGACCAGTCCCTCTTTTTTTTCTCCTTATCACGCATCTCTGGCATAGCAGCCATTGGGCTACTGCTTCTTTATGTATAATAAGGTACAACCTGCTTATACCTGCCATGAGCCCTTCACTGTCCTGGGGTAACCTTGAAATACTCCTGTCCTCTATAACATCACCTTTTGTCCCCTCTCTAGGTATGTTAGGGGTGGCTCAGTGGAGAAAGCACTGGACCTGGAGTTAGGAAGGCATGGAGTTCAAATCTGGCCTCAGATACTTATTAGTTATGTGATCTTGGGCAAGTCACTTAACCTCTGAATACCTCCATTTTCTCATCTGAAGAATGGGGATGACAATGGCACCTACCTTGCAGGGTTGTTGTGAGGATCAAAGGAGATAATAATTGTGAAACAGCACCATGCCTGACACATAGCTATGTAAATACTAGCTATTATAATTATGTAAAGCACTTTTCAAACCTCAAAGAACTCCATAAACGCTAGTTGTTGTTATTTTGTCTTTCATTAAGAATATAAACTTCTGGAGGGCAGGGACTGTTTCTGTCTCTCTTTGCAGCCCCAGTTCTTTACATGGTGCCTGGCACATGGTAAAAGATACGGATGGATTTCATAGGTTTCAGAAGCCTTGGAGAGGAACTTCCTCTGCCAGGGCATACTGGCACCGTTCCTTTAATTTAGAGTCTTCAAGAGTTCTCTATAGCACTGAGATGCTAGCAAGTGTTTGATCCAGGATTGTACTGCACAGATATGTCCAGGGTACACTCGAACCTGGGCCTTTCTGCTTCCTAGGCTGGTCTACTCTCATAGGCACATAGTAAGCACTTAATAGTTGTTCAGTGATTGATTGATTCTTTACAAGCTGTAGGCATTCCACGTTCATTTTAATCCTATTTCCCTTTTCAAATAAGCAAGCTGAGCTACAAAATGAAGGATTTGCCCCAGATTATAGTTACTGGTGGCAGCAGGCCTACAATTCAGTTTGCCCGATTCCTGCCCATTCCCCTTTCCCTAGAGGACACTGCAGAGGGTGGGAACAGGACCCAAACGGGCAGGGGAAGGAGCCAAACAGTGAATCATCTCTGTCAGCCCACGTGGCTTCTGGCTGAAGTAGGTTCTCTGCCAGACTTAAAGCCAGACTTCAGGGATGGTTTAATCAAGACATCAGACTGGATGGAGGTTACTGAATGGGTGGGCCAGAGGGCAGCAGTTTATGGATGGAAATGCTTTAAAAAAGCAGTTTGTGGCTGGATGGCCACCAAGAATGGGTTAATGCCAAAGCTCCAAACATGAGCCCGTGTGATCTTTTTTTTTTTTTTTTAATCTATTTCTCTGTCTTGCTTGAGGCAAGGTAATATCTTGTAAGTAATTGGGTCCTGTCAATTTTCATAAACACAGCCTATCGCTATTTAAAACTGTCTATTCCAGCCACCTAATTTGGAGCTACCAGGAAGAAAGACCATGGGAAAATATCTAAAATTGTGATCCTACCAAGGTGATGCAAGGACAGTGTCGCCTTCTTCTTCATATCCCCTTCAGCACTTACCACAGTGTCTTACGTACAGTAAGTGCTCAATAAGTATTTGTGCAATTGAATGGGATCTGATGCAATTGCTTTGTTCCACTTGACTCTCCTTTCCATTCATCCCTAACTTCCTTCTCCAAACCCACGGTCCAGGAAGCACAATGTATTGAAGATTGTCTGGGGGCGGGGTGAGAAGATGCTTTTCTCATGAAATAAAAAAAAGGTTGCTTAGGAACAGATAGCTTTGTCCTCCCATTGGATCAAGGGTGATGCAAACTGTATCCTTGCTTCCCCGCCCTCTATCCCTTTTGGTGCCATCTGCTCCTAGGAAGAAACAGCTTTTGCTCTCAATTGTAGCTCTCTGAGGACAGACAAAAGTAGACTTGCTCAAACCCCTTTTGCATTTACTTAACAATGTATCGTTTATCCCTACCCAGGGAGATAGGTCTCACAAGTCAGATAGCCAAAGTCTCTTCCGTCACAGTCTTCCACACCTTCATGTCGATAACCATCTCCACAATATGCTCGATGACATCCTAGATGGACACAGGAAGGCAGGAACACTAAGGTTAAGGCTAATTGTGGAGACTGGCCTTGGATCACATGTAAATGCTTTATTTGTGAGGATGCTGTGGCTAAAAGGCCTTTCCCAGTTAGCAGGAAGCCTTGTGTAATGAGATCCATCAATGGGCTATGTTGACCATCAATCTCCATGTATGAAATTGAGAGATTGGGGCAAGTCAAGGCCCAGAGCCAACCAGTGTTCCAAGAGACCCTAGTAATTTGAAGTGGGATTCAGTAGTTTAAACAAGTATAAGTTGTTAGAAGGGATAGTCCTCTCATTTATTTGGGAAGGAAAGATCTAACTTATGGACCATCCAGACCCTTATTTACTAGTTCCTCCCCTGCCCCTCCCTGCCCCTAGCCATTTCATTGCTCATCAGTGTCTCTACTAATGAAGAAAGTGGATAGAACTCAAATCAACCTATTTGGAGGAGTCTGTGGCAAACCCTTTCTCCCCACCCCGTTAAAGAAAAGTCCATTCCCCAGTGATTAGATAAGACCCTTCATTTTACTCCTAAAAGCATCCCGAGAAGCTTGCTCATGATTCTAAAGGAAAGGAAGTTAGTGCCCAAGCCCATTATTACATTGCACCGACCTCCCCTATACCTCTCCCTCTCTCTCCTGCCCTCCCCTTCCCAATATAACCTCTGAACCTAGAATTGCTCCCGATCAGGACTATACTGAGCCAAAAGGAATTCTGGATCATGCTCCTCCTCAGCCCAGTAACCGCCAATCACTTACTTATGCAGTCATCAGCCACCATGTTGTTGCCATCATCACATTCCTCTCCAGGCTGTAGGATCCCATCTCCACAAGAGTGGCCATCGTCTACAGGGTAATCCACAGGATAGAAAGGGGTAAGCTATCCAAACAAACACACAATAATTACCGGGAGGGGACAACAGATGCCCCGAGGAACAAGAAAGAAAACATTTGAGCTTGGAAATAAAGACACTGGAGGGAGCTCCAAGAAAAACCCTAGCAAGGGGGCAATGGGATTCCAGGCACCACTGAAAAGTCGACCCCATTCAGGGATAAAAGCAGTCTTTCATTTGTTCCTTCTCTATAGACTCTCCACGGGCTTTAGAGTCGAGGTTCTTAACCTGGTCTCTGTGAACTTGTTTTTGTTTTAATATTTCAATGACTGTTTCAATATAATCAATTTCCTTTGTAATCTATGCATTTTGTTTTCTGCATTTAAAAACCCGACTCTGAAAAGGGAACTGTAGGTTTCACTAGGCTACCAAAGGAGCCCTGGGAACCAAAAAGGTCAAGGATCCCTGGCTCAGAGGCAATGTGGTTAACTGCATCGAGAGGGATGGTGGACTCAGGAAGCCTAGGGTTCAGTTCCAGCCTCCGATCTTCCCGTCCTGGCTGTGTGAATGTGGGCCAATCATTTAAGCTCTCTGAGCTTCAGTTTCCTCATCTCTAAAATGGATATGATATGGGGAGGGGCTGAGAGAGGGAGAGAATTTGGAACTGGAAATAATGTTGAATTAAAGGAAATTGAGTGAGTGTAATAATACCTCTATAGCAGGTACCTCCCAGGCTTGTAATGAGACTCAGAGGAGATCACAAACCTTGAAGCATTACAGAAATGCTGCAGTTATTTCCAGGTGCTGGACAAGTGTGACCTCTACCACTGAATACAGGAAGCTAGTCTGGTGTTCAAGAGGTTAGTGTGGAGCTGGCAAACCTCCACCTTGAGCTCACCTATGGGCTTCTGTCCAACAATAGAGAGAAGTAGGGCAGTGTGCCAGACGGGGGGAGTCAAGGGCCTGGCAGGAGTCAGGGGAGGGTCTGTGACTCTTTGGAGGAGCTGGGGAAGAACTCAACATGTAGCCAAGGCTTGGGATCTTCCCATGTCTTTAAGGCTCTAAGAGTGGATTCTGAAATGGTCCCCTTGGGTTACCTGGATGGGGAGCCAGCCAACGTTGTCCTTGAAATAGAGAGCCCTCTGGTCTTTACGAAAAGCGATGGCGTTTCGGGTGTTCAGACGCTCCAGCTCCTCACCATTGTTCACCACAAAAATCTGCCCAGAGAAGAGGTCAGTGAGGACTCCAACCAATGCTTCTCTAGAGCAGAGACGAGATGGCGTGGATAGGGCGGTTGGCAAGGACACAAAATCCCCAGCCCCATGGCCTTTGACCAATGGATCCTAAGAGCGTAACCCGTGATTTTTTTCCCCTAGACACTAAAGTCCGAGTTTTCACTCTACAACTCCATAATGGACGAAATGAGTCTCCGCTGGGGAAATCTGCTGAGGGGTGCCGAGGAGCCAACATTTAGAGGGCGTGACACACATTCACCATTAGCCACTGGCATCATACAAAGTAACCTTACCACAGGCACTCTGGGGTAGTTGGGTCCATGCTCATAGTCTTCATGTGATGGGTTATTCATATTCATGGAGGATTTACAAAGACATCTCCCCGGAGGTCCAGGAGGTCCTCTTTCCCCTTTGGGTCCAGTTATAGATTGTCCTGGGAAACAAAACACCAGACCGCCATGTTTTATGGCAAAAGTCCAAAAAGCCAGTTCCTAGAAAAGGAGCACTACATTGTTACCAGAATGGTTAATGATAGCTGGTATTGATACACGTGCTACCTCAAGTGATCCTTACAACAACTCTAAGGAGGAAGGCATTATTAGCTCCATTTTACAAATGAGGAAACTAAGGCAAAAAGAGGTTAAGTGATTTGCCCAGGGTCACACAACTAGTAAATGCCTGAGGCTGGACTTGAACTCAGGTCTTCTCAACTCTAGGCTCAGCGCGCTATCCACTTTGCCACCCAGCTGCCAATAGTTATAATGGAAAGAATCTTGGATGTTGGAGAGTTCAGGATGAACCTGAAGGAGAGTGATTTTAAATGCTGCTTTTAATTTTTAAGTGTTTAGAAAAAATGAAAGGTAGTATGGTGTAGTGGGTAGTGTTGGCCGTCCTTGAAGCCAGAAAAACTGGTTTAAATTCCACCTCTGACATATGCTGGCTGTGGTGCCCCAGGCACGTCACTGCACCTCAGCGTTCAGGGCTTCTTAATTTTTTTCCCCGAGATCCCTTTTCACCATTCAACAGCATGCATTGGCACTGCATGGCATGCACAGTGCAAAGTGCACATGTTTTGTGTTCAGAACCACAGCTGCAGTTAAGTTGAGTAACGTAACACTAGCAAGCCCTGCCAGAAGCACCTTGGATTCATTATGCATTTGATTTTGAATTAATTTTTGACTGTTGTGCATTCAGAAACTTTTCACTGTTGCCGATTTTTCTTGACCCCATATGAAGTATCCCCGAGTCCTGTGTGGCCCCACCCACCCCTGCAGTGTGCAGGAGAGGGGGCACTGATACTGCTCCACCATTAGGCCACCTCTACACCCGGACTGTTTGCATTCTCCAGGTGAGATCTCAGTTCAGTAGTTCTTATGATCCAGGAGGAATGAGCCACACCAATTCTGACCTTCTCATTATAAAATGAAAACCAGAGGACAGAATGAGAGACAGCCACATGGACATGTGTCCTTGGGGGGACCAGGAGGTGGTGAAATCCAAATGCAACAAAAAACATCACATGAGACACGTGTTCACCTCTTTGCTGGAAAATGAGCACGAGGACCACCGTGAAACTATTGCTAGTGCATGGGCAGACAGTTGTTGCCAAGGATGAAGAATTTAGTTCAATCCAAAACGTATGAAGTGTACTGGAGCAAGGCATTGTGGATACAAAAACCAAAACAAAGTCATCTCCATTCTCAGGGACCTTCCACTCCTCTGGAAGGATACCTTATGCACACAGATAAAAGCACTAACAAGGGGGGACTTCGGGAAGCCTTCCTGTGCAGGGAGGCGCCTAAACGGGGCTTAAAGGAGTAGAGATGAGCTGGGGAAGCATTCTAGGCCTACAGAAGCGTGGCGAATGAAGGTGGCGAGCTGGGTCCTGAAGACGGCCAGGTCCTCTCTCATCACGGCCAGCAGTCAAGGCTGCACCAGGGAACAGAGCTGCAGATGAGGAGAACCTGGCCCCAAACGGCTTTGTTCAGTCCAGAGACCCACTTCCCATCCTTACACACTTATGGCAATGGTCACGTGACCCCCAAAGCCAAGCCCTCGAGGGTCCATGGAGTAGAGTAGGTGGGCCAGCTGGAGGGGAAGGGTTCACGGGACCGCAGACGCTCCTTACCTGAAGCTGGTGCTCCTGGGGGGCCGGATTTGCCAGGAGGTCCAGAGCGGCCAGGCGGACCCGTGACTCCGGCGTCACCCTTTTGTCCCTGGCAGAGAGGAAAGCGTGACCCGTTAGGATGGTGGGGGCTCTCTTATAGGTTAGCAGAAGTTGACACTCCTAACCACTCAGTCTCAGATTTACTCCCAGAACAGAGAATGCCATTTGCAGCACAAAACTGAATAAGCTCTTCAGTCAAACATGAGAAGTCAAAGGTGAGAAAAGCCTCAGGGTCAGATAAGAAGGTGGTAGGTTACAGACTCCCCTTCAGTTTATTGAATAAGAAAGAACAAAAAGAAACATACTGGGTGGCTGTTCCTTCTTACTGGTCACTGCGAGCTTTCAATGTCCTCCTCTGCCATCGTCCCCCCAACCAATGTGTAACATCACCCTTAACAGCTGGGTGGCACAGTGGACAAAGCATTGGACCTGTAGTCAGGAAGACCTGAATTCAAATCCAGCCTCAGACACTCAGTAGCTAGGACCTTAGGCAAGTCACTTGACCACTGTTTGCCTCAGTTTCCTCATCTGTAAAATGAGGATAATAATAGCACCTGCCTTGGAGGGTATTGTGAGGATCAAATGAGGTGATATTTGTAAAGCACTTAGCACAGTGCCTGGCACACGTAGGTGCCACATGAGTGCTTTCGTTCCCTGCCTCCCTGTCCATCCCTCTCTTCCCAACCAGACAACATGAGTGAAACAACCAGACCATTACGTTACGGGAGCTGTAGGGCCCCAAGCGTTCCGAGAAGGTTGCTGCCATGGCGGGAGTGCAGGGAAGGCTTTGTGGGGGCTGAGACCCAGACGGGTAAAGAGAAGGAGGAAGAGACATTTGTTACAGAATAACGTGTAAAAGGTCAGGAAGAGGGAGACAACGAGCGCCACGGAGATGGGGCGTCTCCACTCTGGGTTATCTTTCTGCTGCGGATGTTATTGCCGTCTGTTTCTGGGCGGGGTACACATTGGGGAGGACACAGTCCTTTGCATCAAAATATCCTGGGCATTCTTTGTGGTCATCTGGAACCCAGCGTCTTGGGGCAGTGGCCACAGCACAAGATGGAGTCCCAAGAGCTCACTCAGCTCTGATAGCCCTATAATCTGAGGTAAAGCTCCATTTCTCTGAGCCTCAGTTTCCTCGTCTGTAAAATGAGTATAATAATCCCTACCCAGCCTCCCTCACAGGGACACTGAGAGGTTCAAATGAAATAATGTGCGTTAAAGTGTTTTCGTGGGTTAGGGGGAAGAACCCCAGCCTCAACAGCAAAAGAACAAGGTTCCTCTCTGAGCCTCAGTAATCTCATCTGTAAAGAAAAGGTAACCATGCTGACACTACCTCCCTCACAGGTATGTGTGAGCAAAAATGTTTAGCAAACCTAAAGAGCTACAAAAGCTGTCACAGAGCACTGAACGAGTCCAAACAGTCCAACTCTGGCCCTGCAGTAGCAGGAGTGAGGGCCAGACCCTCAGCTCATTGAAGATCTCTGAGTTCTAGCTCGGATGCCCCACGTTCCAGCTCAGATGTCCCATGTTCCAGCTCAGATGCCCCACGTTCCACTCTGCCATCCACTCAAGGAAAAGAAAGGGCAGGGATTTTGCCACAAGGGAAAAATAACCAAACCAACAGTCCAATAACCAGCAAAGGCCACGGTTTATACAACAGAACAACCAATTCTAACATTGGTGTTCCACCAGGGCATGTGTTGACAGCGTTCATTTACTCTGAGGCTTCTCCATTTTCTCCAACTTGACCTAAGAAGAAACCGTTCTACAGACCTTACACTAATGTGTTCACCATGGTGAAGATTGCCACACACATATGGTGGGCACTCATGCTTGATATTTGAATGAATGAACATCGCTGATGCTGCACAGCCAGATGAATTGCTTTACACATGGGGAAAGTGAATCCCTACTCCCCAGGTTAGCTGCTTTACAAACCTGGATCTTCCCATTTTCCTATCAGGACAGAGACAACTATTATTACAATACCAAAGCCCCAAAAGGCCCATGCATCCTGCAGTCCCGGTTCCATTTGTTTCTGAATGCTCTCCTCTATTATAGGAATGATTTCACCAAGTGCTGGCACCTTGGCCTTGTGGCCAGGGACTGCTGGTGACCGAAATGAGCCAGGTTCACTCCCTGTAACACCAGGGCTGGGCACTCAGCTATGTGCTAATTACTCTTTGGGGTCTAAGCAGGACAGTGATTTATGCCCCCAGCACCTTTGGCCTGGATTCTTTGGCAGGCTTGCCCTCCTGGTGAAATGCAATCTCCCCTCTAGTGGGGAAGCAGCCCCTTCACAGGGCCCTTTTCCCATCAGGCCTGGAAGGTAGACATTCCTCCTTGTGAATGGGGCTCCTTCTTTGATCTTCACTGGCCTGTTTCAAGTCTCTGGAAGGGTATTTTGGGGTTTTGAGTTTTTTTTTAAATCTTGGGCGGGGAGGGAGGGGTGTGAGGGTGACATTGGAGGACCCAATTCAATGCTACTTTGAAGACTCCTTTCTGAGCTGAAGTATTCAATGAGATCACCAAGATGGATCTCGTAGGAGAGGAAATCACACCTTCTTAATATAGCTACTCACGGGCTTTTTTTAGTCAGCAATCTGAGCTGGATCCCAGGACGGGAAGCAAGGCCTGGGGGAGCTGACTATCACCCCTGACTCTTACACAAACAGCCACTAACTACTGCTTCTCAGTTGGATAACAAGGAATGCCTTGGTGAATGGCATTCACCTTACCTAAAAAACACATTTTCCCGGGAAGACATGATTCATTATGTGCTAATAATTTATAAATTCTCTCTCATGATTGCCTACCTTTGACCAAGAGGTGGTGGACTTTGGGTGCAGAATGAAGCACACGATTTTGGACAAGGCCAATGAGGGATTTGTTTTGTTTGATTCTGCATATTTGTTACAAGGGCTCCTCCCTCACCGCCCACTCCAAATAACAGACTATAGAAGGGAGAGAAAATAGATTTTTAGCAATTGAAAAATTAAATTAAAACAATTTTTTAAAGACTCTTTCCCCAGAAGATTATAAGAACCAGGTCACCTTCCAGCCTGAAACAAGAGACTGAATTAGATGACTTTCATTTTTTGTTTTTCTCTGTATCTGTGGTTTCTTCACTGATTTGAAAGCTGGCTCCCCCTGTGTAGACTGGCAGCTCTCAGGGGACTTGGGGGGCGTTGCCAAGAGCACTAAGAGGCTCACTGATCACACTCGGGCAATCAGAGCCGAGGCAGGGCTAGAACCCAGCCTTCCCGGACTCTGGGGTGCCCAGCACCCAATCCACCAGGTGTATGGGACCCGTGATTTTTATATCAGGTAAACTGCCAATAGCCAGTCTTTCTTCTTTTGTGATCTGGAAATTTCACAGCCACCCACGTACCCATGGAAATAAGAGCTCCCAGGAGTCTGCCCTGCCCCTCACATCCTGCGCTGAAGCTCAGCTAAACAGCCTGCCGCCACCCGGGGAGGGGATGTGGGCTGCGAGCACACTCAGGTTGATAAGGACCTTTCCTGGAAATGATGATTTCATTTGACTTATTTATCTGGCTTTCTAGTACTCCCTCTCCTTCTGATGAAAATTTTAAAGGGGCCGTAAACTTGGACAGAGGCAGCTAGATGGCTCGGCAGATGGAGTGCCGGGCCTGGAGTCAGGAAGAATCACCTGCTTCAGTTCAAATCTAGCTCTTGTGACTCTGGGCAAGTCATTTAACCTCTGTTTGCCTTAATCCATGGGAGGAGGAAAGGGCACACCGTCTTAGCATCTTTGCCAAGAAAACCCCATAGACAGTGTGGTCCATGGGGTCACAACTGCACAACAACCACAACAAACCTGGAGCCCCAAGAGAAAGGACACCACGCGTGGTGTGGTGGGATGAGTACGCAAGTGAGAAGGGCCCGGGTTTGAATCCTGACTTTTCTCCTCCTCCCTGGGTGACCTTGGGCAAGTCACTTAAACCCTCTGGGCCTCAGTTTCTTCCTCTGTAAGTGCAGGGGCTAAACTAGATGGACTCTGGAGTCCTTCCAGGTCTAAGTCTATGACCCCCATGATCGTCTTATCTTGGGTGCTCCTCCTCATACAAGGTTTACAACCAACGTTTAAGAAAGGAGCCAGGACATCGACTGAGTACAAGCCTGACTCCCTGAACCACAGCCAACTGCACTTATTAGACACCTATGGAGTACAGGGGCAGCGAGGTGGCACCGTAGTACACAGAGCACTGGGCTTGGAGTCAGGAAGACTCATCCCCCTGAGTTCAAATCCAGCCTCAGAGGCTTACTAGCTATGTGACCTTGGGCAAGTCACTTAACCCTGTCTGCCTCAGTTCCCTCATCTGTGAAAATGAACTAGAGAAGGAAATGGCAAACTACCCTAATATCTCCACCAAGAAAATCCCAGATGGGGTCATCAAGAGTCAGAAACGACTGAAAAACAACTGAACGACAACGACATGATGTGCTGTGTACCAGGGGTTCTTTGATCCATCGGGAACACAGACTTTTTTTGTCAGAGCCTGACTGAGCTCTTAGAAGCTCTCTGTCCAGGTCATACAATGCTACACTAGCCCTTTGCTAAGGGAAATGATGGATGAAGGACGGCTTTGCTTCCTAGGATGCATGCTAACCATCCAAGGACATTTTTGGTACCTTTATGGAAGCAGCAGGACAGTGGGCTGAGTGTTAGGCTGGCAATCGGGGAAACTTGGGTTCAAATCTCACCCGGGACACTTGTTTTCTGTGTGACCCTGGGAAAGGCACTTCATCCCCCTGCACAGAACTCAGCCCACTGAGCCCCAGCCAAGGGAGTCTGCATAGCAAGAGTGCCCACTGACCTTGCACGAGGGCCCATGGAGGCAGCACTGGCCCCTCTGTCCATGCTGTAAAGGGCGTCAGGTAGGCCCAGTGGAAATCAGGGAGCTGGGCCAAACGAAACTGAATTATTCTCCACCTTTCTTCTTTTAGCTTTAATTTAGTTTTGGTCAGAATTCATACTGATCAGGGGCTGCCCAGTCTACAAGCCCAAAAGGCAATGGGCACCTGTTCAGTTTATTTGCTCATAGTAGAGAAACAAACCAGAAAATTCAAGTTTCAAAAATCTATTTTGGATTATCCAGACTGGTTGTCTAGTTTGTCTGCGATGGTACCTAGAAAATGACCAATGGGCCTTTCTTTGCACGGGCAAAGTTGAGCTAGGTTGGCAGTGCTGACTTCTCCTAGCCTACTGATATGGAAGGACTGGAGCTGGTAATGGAGGAGGGCTCCTGCTAGGTTTCACATCCAAAAGAACCTTTTAAGTCTATTGATTTTAGACCAATAGAATACCTGAGAGTCATCATAACGCAGAAGGAAGAGCAACCAGCCTAGAAGTCAGAAGACCTGGCTGGATATAAGGTCCAGCTCCAACATTTATGAGCAGTATGACCTTAGGCAAACCTTGTGACCTTGGCTTACCCATTTGCAAAATGGTGACTTTAATACGTGTCTAGCTCACAGTTTCATGAAAAAAGCATTTTGTAAGCCTTTAAATGCTACTTTGCACATAAGCTATTATAAAGTGGGCTGGTGTAGTGCAATGGGGGAAGGGAACATGCATTTATTAAGCACCTGCTGTGTATCGGGCATTAAGCTGGTACTTTAACCTTTCAACCTCATCTAATAAGAGAGTCAGAATGCACTGGAGTCAAAAGCCCTGGGTTCCTATTGGAGTTCTACTCTCTTACTACCAACTCCCTAGATGACCTTGGGCAAGTCACTCCCAACTTTAAATCCTAGGATTTGTAATCCTATTCTTAAGACTCCAAAAGAACCTTAGAAAGCACCTATTGAAACCCTTTTACAAAACAATCTATTGAATGGATCAGCCAGAAAGCAGCAGGCCCAAGATTAGGCCTGTGAGCTCATTCCTGTAGAATGGACATGCAAGGGAAACCCTCAAGGTAGCCTAGGTCAACCTGGGGCCAAAAAGAGGACAAACCCCCTTCCCTTTCTTCAAGTTTGAAGGGCAGGATTTCCACGCCCCCTGCCATAGATTTCTAGTGGCAAAAATACAACCTGCCCACGGCCCATTCTGAGTGGCCCATCCCCAGAGCCAGCAGTGCCAACTAATGACCAAGAATGAACCTTCTCTCCTTAATGATGAGAGTGAGAGACAGAAACAGAGTCAGATAGATAGAGAGCCAGAGACAGTGGGACAGAGAAAGAGAAACAGAGTGATGGGGAAGAAGAAGACAGATGGACACACCGAGAGAAACACAGAGAAAGAGTGAGAGGAGAGAGAAACAGAAAGATATTGGGAGAGACAGAGAAGACAGAAGGGGAGATAAAGAAAAGGAGAGAGACGTGCGTTCGGTTACACATTAGGGTACCTGAGCATAAACAATCCCCGTGACCTCATACACAATGGGAGATAGGAGACCCCCCCCCTTAGAGGCCTGCTCCACTAAGCTGTCATTTCCTATGGACCTTGGGATAGGGGATGGGGAGGAGAGACATAATCAGTCTCCTGAGTCTTTGATGAATTGTAAAACTATTCCTCAGAGCCGGATCTGTCCCCAAGTGAACAATTTATGAAGCTGAAGGAAGAATATAGCTTTGAGCTGAAGTAAAAGTTTAAAAACAAAAAACCCTCAACCATCTGTGATGAAGCTATCTGGCCTGCTCAGCCCCCATGAATATCTGCACAGGCTTCAACAGAAGGGTTCTGCAACACAATTAGTCACCATCCTTCCCAACATGATGTGTGTGTACCCCTAGACACACTGTTTTAGCTGTTCACAAATGACTCCAGTGTCCCAGACTAAGATGAGTGTACCTCATCTGGGCCCCAATTGTGTGCTAACGCATCAATGGGCCAACGCGGATGACTGTACTGAAACAGGAAAACCAATGTATGTGCCGCTAAAGTCTCCTTCACAAGATCCAGCACCTAAAACAGTGCTCAGCAAACAGTAGGCACTTAATAAATGCTTATCAAATGAATGAACAGATGATAGTGCGAAATGTTTCTACTCCTCTGGCCTGGCTGTCTCCAGATTGCTCCCTGATGAAGATCCCAGCCATCCCCATGATGCTGGAAATGTGGAGCCAAGCATTTGTTTAATTTAAAAGCTAGTATTTACAGAGGGCTTTAAGGTTTGCAAAGTGATTTATAAGTATTATATTAATCTCACAACAACCCCAGGAGGTGGGTGCTATTATTAGCCCCACTTAACAGATGAAAAAACTGAGGCACGTAGCATTTAAGTGTCCAGGGTCACAAAGCTAGTAAGTCTCTGAGGCCACATTTGAACTCGGGTCTTCCTGCCTCCAGACCCAGTGAACTGTCCAGGCTCTGTCCAGCTCTAGACCTGAGATCTCATGGCCCCACGCACAGCTGGGTCCGTTCTAACATCTTAGGATTTTATGAACTAGCCTCTTCTCTCAGAAGGCTTCAGAAAAGGGAAGGGAACAGGTCATGTGACTGGAAGGACTGTCATTAACAGGATTTGATTGAAAATGTATTTGTCCTTTAAAAAGACAAGGGGAGCAGCCCTCTAATTTAGCACAGACCAGAATGCAGAAAGGACAATTTTGCTTCCATGCCTTGGGGTGTGGGACAGAAAAGCAAATTATGAAAACTCTAGCGAACAATTAAAAAAAAATTTAATGATAATAAAAATAATTTTAAAAAGAAAACTCTAGGAAGGAGGAATGTGGCCCACTAGACTAATGGGAACAACATGAGGGTGCGATGGGTCCACTAAGACCTTTAGCTCTTCATGGAGGGCAGACAAGGTGGTAAGCTCTGCTCACCTCTCTCCTGGTGGGCAGAGCAGTAGCTGGTAACAGTGCTCTGTATGTGGGAGGAGGGAAGGGGAGGTGTCTGGGGTATGTATGGGCAGGAAGGGGTGGTCTTGCTTGGTTTAAAGCCAGGAGGCCCATCTGGCCTCATGTAAGGCCAAAACCACCCACAGGACTAGGGAGCCATCTAATTCCATCCTTTTTGTAGCCGAGCTTTTATGTCTAATTCTTTTACGACATTAAGGACATTTAGGACATTAAGAATTATGTCCTTTATCCATGGGAGTATTATTGATGTATTTGGATGTTTGCACAGACCTAGACATTTTCCCCAAATCTCATTAAATGCTTTCCTCCCTCTCTCTCTCTTGATTCAGTGGTGCCCCTCAGCAATGTCAACGCCCACTGCTCCAGACACGGAGCTGCTTAGGGAGGGGGCAGCAGTCGGCTCTGTCCCCAAATCCCTTCCAGGGACTGTGCTGTTAATAACCTGGCCAAGGAAAGACAACAAAACAAATACCTGAAGAGCTCGAATTTTACACAGAAATTGACACTTAGCTGGAAAATTAAAGCAAAGAGCCCCAGGTCTGGAGTCATCTGACCCAAGGTCAAATCCTGCCTTGGCCATTTACTACTTGTGTGGCCGTGGGCACATTACAACCTCTTTTGGCCTCAGTTTCCTCATCTGTAAAATGAGGGTGTTGGCTGAATGGCCTCTGAAGATCCGTCCAGCTCTAAGGCCCTCGATTTCTCCCTTTTGATTCCCTGAAACCGGGCCTTAGTGACCTGAAAAGTCCATTGGACCTTGTTGGTTTGACCCAGTTAACTGCCCTGTCCCCCCTGTCACCAAGTCAAGCAACTGGTGGTGATGACCCATGCAGCAACTCTCCGCCGCTACCTGGAACACAGAGCACTGAAGTCCACATTCAGTGCTGAATAACGTTTTCCTTCTTCCTCAAACCAGCTCAGTTGTGTGTGGGGCCCACCCCTGCAAGAAGCGGGGAGGGAGTGCATGGGGCCCTTACTTGCTTGCCTCGTTTTCCTGGTCTTCCCGTAGGTCCCCTGGGTCCTGATGTGCCAGGCTCTCCCTTGGGGCCCATTTCTCCCTGCAGAGAAGGAAGAGAAGGGAGAGGAAAATCAGGGGAGGAAAGAGCACCCCTGGCAACCAGATTCCACTCAGCAGCTCAGTGGGACATTCTTTCCAAATTTATCACTCATGAAGAAAAGGCTGGGGTGGAGGGCAGGGTATGGAAGAAGGGCGACGAGTCTTCCAGGGAGGATGAGGGAAAAGGAAGATGTCTGGTGGCTAGAACCGAGAGAGAACCCGAGCCACAGAAATCTGATGACCAAGTGTTGGCAATGGACCCCCCTTTCTACTAGAGCCTAGCTTAGAGAGGAAGAAGGACAGGAAGACCTCTGGCCCTATGTGGTTACTCTGTCACCACGAACTGTTTGGCAAGTGCTTAGAGTAAGTTTAAAAGAACCACAAAAACTCAAAAAGGAATTTTATCAGAGATTCTTCTTCTTCTTTTAAATTCCAGTGTTTTTGCCCCAGCAAAATTCATCTGTGGGTCCGGAACAATCCTTGTCAGTTCCCATGATGCTCTTTCTGAGCAGGGTTTTGGAGTGTTAGTGATCCTGGAGCTAGCTCTTTAGTAGATCTCTTTAGAAAATTACTTTTCCTCCCTTAAATCCAAGTTATTTTCATTGTTACCTCCTCTCCATTTTATTTGAATGGAACTTCGGCAGGGGTAGGGGAGAGGGACTGTATTTTTCTGACTTATGCCTAAAAGGTGAGTGTAAGTGGGTTAGAGCACATGACCAGTGATGCCGTGAATAGAAGGAATGGAATAAGAAAGACAGTATAGGAAAGGGGTGATTGGAAAAGGTGATGGGTCCCTCATGTGACAAGAAGGAAGGCTCACAGCTGGATACAATGGCGCCTTTTAAATGGAAGGGCCTCCTGGGTGCTGGGTAGATGTCCAGTAGGATTTGTGGGAGGAGATGAACAAGATGGTGTGGGATGATCCTGGAGCCAAGTAAGTGTACCATATGGTTGCATGGTGAATATTTTTCATTAAAAGTCATGAAGGGAGGGCAGGGATAAAGGTGGTAGACGTCCCTAACCGAAGATCTGCCAATGAGCCAACGTCAAATGTATCAACTACAAAAATTCAAGTTTTTTTTTTTAAGCAAAACCTTAAAATAGCCTATTTCCCCCATTCTGCCCTATGTGTCTCCCCATTTCTATCCAAGATTTCATATGTCTGACTGCTTGTTATTATTTTTTTGGCCACGTCTACTAGGTGACAGCTAGCTCATCCTCTCTGCTGTCTACAGCCCTAAATGCCCTGCCAACGCTTGCTAATTTATAGTCACCATTGCAAAGACAAAGTGCATTTGTCCGGGGTCAGGCCAGAGCATACAAGCCAAACAGCTGCCCCAATATTTATCAAGCCTGTATTTTTGACGTTCAGTGGCATGATGAAAATTCCCAGCAAAAACCAACATATAAGAATGACGTATTTTTAAAGGCCAAGCTTATAAACCTGAAATTAGTTTCAATAAATGTAGTCAGGACCCTGAGTCTATTCTTTGCTAGGCATTATGTAAGACCCTCCCAAAAAAAATTCTTGCCTCCCCCCCCCTTAAAACCTATTATTTCCTCTATGGACCATTATTCCATGGTCAGCTTTAGGTAGAAGGGAATGAGATAATTCATGGATAAAAGTTAAATTTATTGTAGTATTAGACATTTAAATATCATATACTTATCCCCTCCCCATCCTTTAAATGTTTTAAAGTTCATATGTAAACTAAATAAGCCAGTTCTCTAAGAAGTTAGTTCAAATAAAAGACTTATTCACGTAACATATCTGAGGCCTCTTTGTAAAGAGTTTGTTGGGGAATAAGACATGAGCGTAAGGAAAAACAGACTAAGACAGGCTAAAAAGTGCCCCTTTCTTCCCGAATAGTAGTCATAGGGAAACCTGCCCCATTTGAGGACTCCCTTGCCTCTGCCGAAAGTTTTGTGTGCACACACACAAACATTATTTATATTTTTATGTAACTATTCCTAGGACTCCATTAGCACAAAATTCTTGCAATCCCACCCTGCCCTTCTCCAACCGGAAACAGCCAGCATTTTCTTGATCTAATTTCTCTCCTAAGACTCAATTACGGGTATCATATATAGCTCTGTCTTAAAGGAGCATGTCCAAGGATGGAAAAGAGCATCCTGTAGATTGCTGTGGTAATTACCAGTAGATAACAGGGAAAGATCTGTTCTCCTTGGCTCTCCTGTTTTCTCTTAGTTGCACTGAATGGAAATTTCTAGAGAATTATTTAACCCAATGTGAAGAATAGTCTTTCTCATAGGTTATCAAGGTAGTGATGAAACATAACATTTTGTACAATATATGACAGCCCTGCCAATGAGATTAGACCAGAATAAAAAAATGTACTAAGAATTTGAAAATATGGAAAATTAGGATGTAGTTACACTTACCAGAAAAGGATTCTATTAGTCTGTCTTAAAGACAGCATCCTATGAAGGAGAAGAGGTTTTAATCTCCAAATGAGGCCTTCCATCGTCACTCCCCAGAATCCAGAGGAAGCCTCTTAACGTTGGTAAGTTAGGAGACAATAATACAGGGGCACGAGCGTGTCTCCCCCCCACCCCTTCCCTTCTCTGCTTCCTCCAACCTTCAGATACTTACTTTCTGTCCCAGCATCCCAGGAAGGCCTGGAAAACCCTGTGAAGGAAATACAGGCAGGGATCACCTGGGGAAGGGTGGTTATCCACACCAGCTGTGGAGGGAGCGAGGTCCAAAGAGGCCTTTTCCAAACGTTAGTCAGTCAGTCTGGGCCCAGCTGCTCCCCCATCTGGGTAACTGCCCAAAACATTACCTTTTCTCCTTTGGGACCCAAGATGCCCTGGTCGCCTTTGGAGCCCTGGGGGGAAACCATAGGAGAGACAGGTAGTGTTAATGCCACGTGAAAGAATCACAGAACCCTAGATCAGAGAGCAAGACCTGGAGGGGACCCTGGACATGGCTTGGTTTAGCTGCCCCTCCACTGACAAGTGAGGAAACTGAGGCTCAGGGAAGGGAAATGACTTGCCCAAAGTCACATTGGAGCAGGGATGGGATCTTAGATCCAAGCTTGTGTTTGAACGTATGAAGCGGGAGATAGAGTATCAGCTTGGAGTTAGGGAGACCCGAATGTGCACCCTACCTTGCTCACTTACTAGTTATATGGCCCTTGGGAAGCCACTTAACTGCTGTGCCTCAGTTTCCTCATCTGTAAAGTACAGGAGTTGGACTCAGTGGCCTTCAGTTCCCTTCCAGCCCTACATCTATGATGCTGTGGCCCAGGCCTCCTCCGGTGAATAAGGACATTAATCTGCAGAGAAGGGAGCCCATTCGACAAGCCCAGCCTCCCCAGCTCTCGGCTCCACCCTACGAACTTGGTGTCCACAGCGGCCAGCTCAGGTGCGGGCTACAGGCCACAGCTGCCCACTGGGATTTTGCCGTATATCACATTGGTGGGAGCATGGAGAATGGATGCTCTCAAGGCCAAAGAGAAGGCCGGATCACTTGGGGAAGGGTCCAGAAGAGAAACCAGGAATTGGGGGAATGTAGAGATTTCAACTCTACCTCCACCTGCCTTTTTTGGGGGGGGGGGGAATCAGGGTTAAGTAACTTGCCCAGGGTCACACAGATAGTAAGTGTCCTAGCTGCCCCCTCCCCCTGACCGGATTGGTCAGACCCCAGTGAGCCTCACTGGCTCTAGCACACGCTAGCCTTCTCCTCCCCTCCCCCTCCACAATCAACCCTTCCTGGATGTTGTCTCAGAAGGAGGCACATGCATCCTCATGGGGTCACGAGTAGATGGAAGTGGGGCTGCTCTTGGAGGCGGGCCTGGGACTGACAGAACTGATTTCCAAGCAACTGTAGCCTTGGGGAGACTAGCTGAACTGGATGTCATGTAGAGCTAGCTAAAGATGAACTTTTAATCATTTTTTACTATTTAACATGCTAATAGTCTGGGCTATTTTTAGAAATTAACACCCCAATGGGCAGTTTCTGTTGACATGTTTATCTTCCACAGAATTCTTCTGCTGCCCCTTGGGGGCAGGGAGGAAAACCTGGGATGCTCAAAGGTAACAGACACCAGCCGGGCACAAAATCTGGCACATTCTCCCAAGCGAAGGAAAGCTCCAACAGGGTCCCCTGGACCTCCTCTGCCTACAAGCCAAGGACCAGTTGGCCACGGCCTCTCATGACACGAAGACAAAGATGGAATAACTCCCGGTCCTGTGGGACCCCTATCTGCATCTACAGGGACGGTGGCAGAAGGTGGAAGAGGCTGGCAAGGGAGACTAGGCACCTGTGAACAGGAATGTAATGGCTCCTCCTCTAAACTGAGCATCCTTGCCCAATGGCCAAGCGATATCACACAGAAGGAACTAAGCCATGTGCATATTGGTGTTCAGTCATTCAGTGCTGTCCGACTCTGTGACCCTGGATGGAGTTTTCTTGGCGAAGATGCTAGAGTGGTTTGCTGTTTGCTTCTCCAGTGGATTAAAGCAGAGGTTAAGTGACTTGCCCAGGGTCACACAGCTAGAGAGGGTCTAAGGCTAGATATGTACTCAGGTCTTCCTGACGCTGACAGAAACTGAGATCTTCTGACCTGCTCATGCCAAAAGAACCTTCCCCATTATTCTTCCTTATAAGAGAGGTTTGGGGTTGTCCCACTGGGGAAAAGGTCAGAAGTGGCTTGGAGCATTTTATAAGAAGAACTGAACTTCCAAGGGACTCCAGGAAATAGAATCCAAGGGAAATTCTGGGTGACCAGGTAGGGTGTGGGTATTCCTGTTATCCCAAGAGCTTATCTGATTTTAGAATGGGCTGCCAGGGAGGGAGGGGGCTCTCCTTCCCCAGAGATCTTTCAGCAGAGGCTGATGGCCACTTGTTGGGTGTGGAAGGGGAGGGGCTCCTTTTGGGCAGGGTGGGACTAGAGGCCACCAAGCTCCCTTCCAACTCTTGAGCTCTCTGTTTCTGGCGCTGGGCTGCTGGGACGCTGCACTATTGTCTTCCTCCAGAATTCCTGCCAGCCTACCTCAAGCGATTCTGAGAAGGGATCCGTAGGCTTCCCAGCCAAAAACGTATGTGGCAGAACAAAGTTGTGAAGAAAGCCCTAATATGAAGGCATGGCCTCACATTCCGCTGAGCTAGCTATGGGGTTCATTGATAACATACAAATAAATTTAACAGATGAAGGATTTTGCTGATACACGTGTCCTGACCACCTCCCTGCCAGCAGGGGTTTCTGAGGAACAGTCCCACAAGAAACTAGGCCTGTCCAGAACTTGGCAGGCCACTCAGGATGGTCTACGTGAGTCAGGGTCTAAAGTCAAGAAAGGAACTGGAAACTCTTGACAATCCCACCAGTCCAGAAGAAGACGACCCCCAGCACCTTTAATACCCCAACTATGAATAGGTCCGATAAGGATAAACACAGAAGCTGGTAGAATTCCTTTGGGTATTATTACTTTGCAACAGTCATCCTAGCTCTCTCCACCTGCATGTCCCCTCTCCTTTCTCTGTGAGGGAAAAGACATGGTCAGTGATTGATTATCTTTCTTTACACATCTATGAGGCCATTTTTCAACTTGGCTTGTTGTGAGCCTATGGCTATAACCTCCATGGCCCATATTCATCCACCTCACCTGTTTTGGATCATAGTATTTCAGTCCTCTCCTCAGGGCCCCTGAGAAGATGCCAACTCCTAAAGAAATGCCCACCCACCCAGCCCTCCAGCCCTCCAGCCCTCGGCCTCCCTCCCTCCCTCCATCCGTCACTTCTAGTCTACTATCAAATTCCCTTAGGCACTTACACAACCGGTCTCTAATGGACCATCTTATTGTCACACTGACCTTTTCCCCTCTGGTTCCAGGGTAACCCTGAAAGAAAGCAGAAAGTCCTTTTACAATCCATACACCTACATTTGCTGCATAGCCTTTGAGATTAGCATAGCCAGTTCTTGCTCACATGAAAGAGACCAGGGCATGCAATGATTTAAATACATCCCTACATTGATTCTAAGGTTTTTACTAGCACCTGTAGGGGTCAGAATTCAGGACACACAAGTGTGACTCTGCTGCTGGTTGAGTTTCCAGGGTTCTGAAGGAACACCATGTTTTTCTTCTTCATCCCTATAAGGTATAATAACGTCTTCCCTTCAGCAGCCCTTCCCCCATTCTTTGGCTTGGGCTTTTTTTCCGCAAGAAAAACAAACAGGGCTGCCATTGTAAGTATGAGCCATTTTTTTTCTCTGAGCATGACCGTCATGCATAGTATTTATAAAGAACACTTCAGAAGACGGCAAAAAGCATCCCAGAGTTAAAGAAATGCAGCTAAAGCCATTTTCCAAGCGCAAAATAGCAACCCAGCAGTCTCACTTTAAGGCTATGTCATGGCTTGGAGGTGACCTTGGGGCCTGGAAGGCTACTCCATCACAGCATAAGCACTGGCAATGTCTATGATGGTGGAAGGGTTTTAGGGATGGTCCTGGCAATAGATCAAGGCTGGTTTCTGAGGGACAATCAAACTAAGCATAGAGAGCTTCATCACTGTTAGGGGAGCTATTTGGTGATTAGTCCTTTGTCCATGATAGCTCATGACATCTAGACATCTCTCTCTCTCTCTCTCCCCCCACCCTTCTGTGTATGTATATACACACTTATATATGAATTATAAAACTTTTCATACCCTCTGACCTTGAACAATGAATGATTTAATGGAAAAAGCATTTATTAAGTACTTACTAAGTACAAAGCATGTGCTAAGTGTTGGTGATACAAATAAAAAATAAAGATAGTGCCTGGTTTTTAGGCACAAATAACCCACTACTAGGACTTATATAATCTAATATAAGCAATTCATATTATTCATAAAGGAAAAACAAACAATCGGCTGGGGAATGGCTGAACAAATTGTACAACATGAGTATAATGGATAGTTTTGTGCTCTAAGAAATTACCAGTATGAAGAGTATAAAAAATAAGAGACCTGTTTGACCAAACAAGGAACCAAAATGTGCCCATTGATTGCAACTAGGCAAATAATACAACACTCTTTCCATGTGTCACAGACCTGTGCTAGCACAGCTCCATTGATAACTTAGAGACTCAAGGTCAGAGGTTAAGTGAGTTTCCCATGTAGCTCTAGCTAGTGGGTGTCAGAAGTGGGATCTGAATTCAGGAATTCCTGAAGGCAAGTCCAGGACTATCCACTATGCTGTTCTGCTTTTCATTGATAAGAACAGCAACAAAATCATAAAAATAGAAGAAAAACAGGTCAAAGGAGAAGAGAGAGAGACAAATCAGCTGACTGAGCTATCATCTTGTTAAAGTTACTTTGCATAATTTTAAACAAACTGCAAATGAAAGAAGTTTGTTATTTCATGTACAATTGTTCTTTTATTCACATTTGTTCTTTTGCAAATCTGTTTTTGTTGACTATGACTAAATTTTAAATAAATAATATTTTAAAAGCACCACATCTTACTGACAATGTCAGTTTGTTTTTGTTTTTGTTTTTTTTTTGCTAGGCAATGGGGTTAAGTGACTTGCCCAGAGTCAAGTACCTGAGTCAAATTTGAACTCAGGTCCTCCTGACTCTAGGCCCAGTGCTCTTATCCACTGCACCACCTAGCAGGACAATGTCATCCTTATCAAATCTTTACCCAGAATTAGGAACAAGTAACCCCAAGGTACTCTTTTATTTCCAGCCCACCTTCTGTTGAAGGGGTTAATGTATAGTGATTGGTATGAATACATCAGAGGAGCAAGCAAAAACAAGCTGGACCCTCCACAAACATCATTTGCCCCTGAAAAAGCGAGAGCTAATTGCAGGACCAGGATGAAATAAGAGGGGACCCCATGAACGATCACTAGCTAGTGCCATGAAAACTGAGTGATCTCTTCGCATCAGGCGCTCAGTGAACCAGATCACAGAAGCTCCCCTTTAGATCATGAATTCCATCAAACTATACATTGAAGTCTTTCATACTGAAGCAATAATGCTTATACCTTAGAGTTGTTTTTTAACCAGACTTGAAATTGAGCCCCCAAAAGTTCATGTGACCAGCCCAAGGACACTCTGCTGATAGCTATAAGGGCCCAGGTCTCTGGATGCTCCGCCATCTACACCAGGGTAAAGAGGGAACTGAGTAGGTCTAACCTGTGATATGGGGCTGAGCCTGAAGGAGTCTCAGTCAGGGGTGCGGCTTAGAAAGGCATCCTGATAGCTTGGAGCCATTTTCACTGCCCTTATTCCTCCCTTCCCTCTCCTTCTACATTCTGCTGCTGTTATCCACAGTGCGCCCAGTACTGACCTCAGGGCCTACAGCCCAGGTTGGCTTCAACAGAGAACTAGAAAACAAAATCTGAAAATGCACCGGGTTCACAAACCTGAGAGCCCACAGGTCCTCTTGTACCTGGTAATCCCATCAAGCCCAGATCACCTTTTTCACCCTGCCGGGGTTGGAAGAGAGAGAGAGAAAAGGTTACAGTTCCAATGAGAACCAGCTGCCCAGAGACATCAGACCATCAGTGAGCAAGGGAGACGGCAAAGCCAGCTCATCCCGGACAGAGTGGATGGTGACCTCCAGAGAGCATGTGGGGGCTTGGAACACCTCCCTTACCTGATCCCTAAATCCCCTGAAAAGGGGAATTTTGTTTTCCTATGAGAGATCAGGCTAAAAATGTAAATATCCTTTCACACGGCCAGAGATCACAGAGTCGGAGAGCTGGAAACCCCCTCTACATTTCCCCCCACAAATGGCATCCAGCTTTTGCTTAAAGACCTCCAATAAGGGGGTCCACTTTGGAGGAACTTGAGCAGGAAGTATGTTCCTCAACCAAAGCCTAAATTCACCCTTGGCAACCCTGGGTAGCACACATATAATTAGAGTTTCTGGTACTGGCCTAGGTTTCATGTCTGGAATTTTTATTTTGAGCAAAGCAAAAAATAATAGGACCAAAGATTTTAGATTTGGAAGAGACCTTGGAAATCACCTACTCCAAGCCTCTCATTGTACAGATAAAGAAACTGAGGCCCAGAGAAGTAAGGAAGTCACAGAACCTCAGAGCAGAGAAGGCCCTCTTACGACTTCTACTTCACCCTCCATCCCAATAGAATCGAATTCCCCTGGCTGAAATTCACCCCACGACTCCTAGAGCAGCTGCCTTGTACACTAAGGAGGGATGCCTGTAGATATCTCTCCTCTGCCCCACCCCAAGTGCCCACTCTGCCCCTCTTCCTTTCCAACTTTGGGGGTTTAATCAAATACACCCCTGCCAAAAATACCCCCTGATCTTGTCCAAAGATCCAAACTTTCTCAGCTGACACCCTTCTTTCCTGACACCTGCTGATACAGCCTAATTCTGCTCCATTTCAATGAGAGGGCCACCAAGGTTTGCACCAAGGTGTAAAACGGATATTTGGCTTCAGCTAGGTGAGAAGGCAACCTACAGTCATCAACATGTGCACTAAGGTGTAAACGGTCAATGCCCAATCCTCTCCTGAGAGCAGGTTTGACCAGGGATGGGAGAGAACTTGGTGGCTTGGGGCAGGCCCTGGAGGTGGGGTGGGAGTGCAGAGATGTTCTGGGGGAGAGACCCTGAGCAAGGATCTTTCTCCAGAAGGGGCTGCTCAGCCCCTGCCTAGGCTGCCCCAGCGAGGGAGGGAGCCCATCCCTTTGGGGAACGATCATACGAATTGTCATCCAAGATCGAATCCACACATCCTGACCCTCCAACCCAGTGTCCTTTCTAGGAGAGTCATGCATCCTCTCTGGAGCCCACGGGCACAGAGCAGCAGGAAGGATGGCGGCCTCTCCTCCTTGTCCCTCTGCCGGCAGACCAAGCTTTTCTGCATGGCTCGTAGGGGGCTGGTGTTCCATCTTCCCCTCCCCTTGCTGATCTGGTGCAATGTGAGGTCCAAGAGGTTCAGCACTTACCTGAGGTCCGGCAGGGCCTGGCCAGCCAACAGGCCCAGGCATTCCGGGGTCTCCTGGAGGGCCGGGTCTACCCTTCGAAGACCAATAACAACAAGCATGGCAACTGGGTTAGTTTCCCTCCAGGGCTAGGGTCATCATAAGAGCTGACACTATGGTTTCACCTTATCTCTTGAGCCTCACTACAACCCTTGGAGGGCAGTATTATGCTTCCCATTTTACAGATAAGGAAACTGAAGCTTAGAAAAATTACATGATTTCCCCATGGTCTCACAGCTATTAAACGTTGGAGGCAGGAAGGGCCAAGTACATCTTCTCTGCCTACTGCTCCATGCTGATTTTTTCAGCATGTACAAGGAGGCAAGGGAATTGGATTCCCTCAGATCAAAGCTCCTGGCGCCTCCTAGACTCCTAATAACTCGCAAAAGATTTATCTGTGGCTAGTTCCCATCTGAGCCAAACTCTCTGGCATGCTCACTCCCTGCCCCAGGTTGACATCTAGCAGAAATTATTAATTTTTTTGTGCCACTGACTCTTTGGTGTCTTCTCAGAAGAATATAAAATGAAATACATAGGATAAGAAAGGAAATCAATTACGTTGAAATAGTTATCAAAATCTTTCACAAAACAAGTACATACACCCCAAGTTAAGAATTCTTGCTGGTACAGGATGGGCTGACCGTGTCCACTTGGAAAATGTAGTGGGCAAGGAGAGAAGGCATATGGGTCTTCTGGTATTTCTGTTTTCACCCCAGAAATCTCCCTCCCCCACCCCTCAGGGATAGGCACCCTGGAATGCAGGTGAGAAACACAGCAGTGCTTTTGGCTATACAAGGAGGGAGGGAGCCCAGCAAAAGGGGATGGGGGCAGCTAGGTGGCCCAATGGATAGAGCCCTGGAGTCAGGAGGAACTGAGTTCAAATCCAGCCTCAGACACATGATACTCACTAGCTGTGTGACCTTAGGCAAGTCACTTGACCCCGATTGCCTAGCCAATAAAAAGGGGGAGAGGGATGAAGGAAAATAGTGAAAAGGAATGTGGATCCACCATTGCTGATAAGCTATGGAATATAGACCTGAAGGGCTCTTCTGAAAATGATTTCCTGTAGATAAAGAAGAGCTTAGTCAGGAAACTGATGCAATTGTGCATACGAAACCTAATGTATTCTGCCTTCCTTTGTCACCAAGACCTAGCCTTCCAATGTCAGAATCCACTGGCCACAGAGAGTAAGGATGAACCCCGACCTTTTCTTAGGAGTATCTCACTCGCTTGTCACTCTAGTGAGGGCCTTGTTCAACTCTGGCAAAGCTTAGAATCTGGTTGTTCATTATGATCTTAGGTGAACCCCATTTATTTCAGCTGGGAAAAAAGACAGCACCCCCAAATCCCCTTCAGGTTGCTTGATAATTCCTCCTTAACTGGCCAGTTCAGAAGAACCAGTTCTGTTAGTGATTTAAGGTCAAATGGCAGTGAAGTGAGGGAGTCTGGAGGTTTGGCAGCCCTGAATCAAATTCAGGATGGTTTAACTATGGCCAGGCTACAATACCATTGGTTGCAACCTCTGGTTCCACTGGAGATTCCCCTATGTCTGGCTCAGTATCTGTACCAAGTCACTGCTAAGGGGCAGGGTGATGTGGTACCTCACTATGACCAAGATGATTTCATCCTGGTAGCACTAGGGATGCCCACACCTGCCAACAGCACCGCTGTCAAAGGCATGAATTCTTGGTAGCCAGCAAAACATAAAGAAGGAGGGAAGGAAGGAGGGAAGGAAGGAAGGAAGGAGGGAAGGAAGGAAGGAAGGAAGGAAACCCAGAACTGGGTTATTTACTTGAAACTGGCCCAGAAAAATACACTTACCTTTCTTCCCGGCCGGCCAAGCTCCCCCTGTGGAAGGAAAAGACACATCAGCTACACTGGGGCGTCAGAGGGGTTCATGTGGCAATGACTCTAGAGCACACACTCACGCTCTCTGCTTTGATCATAAATCTAGAATCGCAAGAGGAATTAGCTGTCACCTAGTCCAGCCTTGTCCTTAGGCCCACAGAGATGAAGTGACTTGCCCAGGGTCACTCAGCCAGTCTCTGGCATTCAAAGCCAGCTCAATGCTACCCTACTAGTGATTTCAGAGCACCCAGGTATCTCAATGGTGCAAGAGGACAGGCCAATGAGAAGTTCCACGCAGCCCTGGCAGCGATTGGCTAGGACCCCTCAGGGCCACGGCATCTTCCTTCTCCCTCTGCACCTCAGCAGGATGTCACTGGGCAGAGAAGGGCTTTAAAGTGTGCTGGGCCAGATGTCGTGGCTTTCTCCAGTGGACCCACAGAATACACAAACACCTCAGTGGCAGGCTGTCTTCCCTTTACCTGTTTCCTATTTAGGCCCTGTCACTATTTGTCTATTCGATCCTGCCCAGCCCTCAGCTTATTCCCTGTTAAGGGGCAGAAAGTTCTGTGCTGATTTGCAGCCATACCCTTCCTTATGTCCCTGGAGAAGAATTTTAAGTCTCTTGTGGTAATACATCAATGTCTCACCACCCTTAAACACCCAAATTTGAGCCAATTTGGTCTTGCCCTCCCCACCCCCACCCAGACTCAAACTCTCTCTCTCTCTCTCACTCACACACACACACACACACACACACACACACACACACACACACACATCTAGTCTGAAGAAAAGGTCAGTACTCACTTTTTCCCCTTTTGGTCCTCTTACTCCAGGAATCCCCGGGGGGCCCTGCATGATGGAGACAACAAATTTTAACAAGGGTAGAGGACATCTCTGTTTCCTACCATGCTTATGGATGAAAGAGCCTCACTCATTTCAGGGAATGATGTTAGCCCATAGACACTCTTTCTACAAAAGCAATGATTAAGACAGCCCCGTGGCACACTGGAAAGAGCCCAGGACTGAAATCAGAAGACTGAATCTCTGCCAGGTGCTTTCTGTCTGCATGACTTTAGGCAAGTCAATTCGGTTTCCTCATTTGTAAAATTAGGGATTGGGCCTGATGACCTCTGTGCTCTCTTCCAACTCTGAATTTGCAATCTGTGCCCCTTTGAGGCAGGGCTCAGGAGGGTAACCTTTATGTGGTCTGTGACCGGCGAAATGGACATGCTTTCCATGGCAGACACATGGCCCCAGGAGATCCCCCCAATTCCTACAAAACAAAGTCTTTCCATCTCCTCCTCCTCTCCTCTGTGCCTGCTCAGGTTCCATTCTGGACTTTGTTCTTGCTAGGCTGCCATATTGGCTGTCCTCACAGATGTCCTGCTCCTACCTCCAACTTCCTGAGGCAGAAGCTCCTCCATGTTTTACTCACCTTTCTGGGCTATTTAGTGTGTCAGTAACATCGGGAGTGCCTCTGTGCACTTGGTAAGAACATCTGAAGAGGCATAAAATGATCTTATTTTCCAAAATGAGCGAGTGTGACTGCAGCTCCTTACTCAACAGCTGATCTACCCAAGCCTTCCCAGGCTGCTCTGCTGCCAACCGGGAAATTGGACTTTGGCAACAGAGGAAGCATTCTTCTTGGATGTTCTCAGGCTGAACCTAGTCAGCAGCAGCTTCGGTAATCTCCCTGCTCCCTGCATCCTCCATAAAATGTCCTCTTAAAACAGGAGGAACTGTCCAAGAAAAGTTGGCATTTTTATTCCCTGGGTCAGCTGAGGAGCTGAAATGAGCTCTGGCTTGGAAATGAGGAGTCCTGCAGAGTGAGCAATACTGCTTCCAATGACCCTTCCATGGGAGATGCTATTTTCTGCTCTGCCTGTCTGGGAGAGATCACTCAGCTAATTGCTTTTTAAAGTCCCCAGAATTGGGGGCTGGGGGTGGGGGTAGAAATCCATCAGAGTTCCCAGCCATGTTGCTGAAGCCCGAGACCTTCATGCCAAAATGCTGACTGTGAACGCTCTTTTGAATCGTGGGAACGAAGAGCTTTGGTCAGGATGACAAAGAGGGGCCCTTCCCCATGCTCACCCCCACACTTCTTTGGGGAGGTTTTCATTCCTGAGGCAACAGAACCGCTCCCGCTTCTTTTCACGAGGGGTGTGGTCCACAAGCATTCTAGAATCATGGAACTAGAACAAGGCTCAAGAATAATCTCTGTGTTCCAGAAATATTTGTGTTTTCCTTCATGCCAGCTGCAGGTCCTAAAGTGATGTTCTAAAGTGTGTTTTCTTTTGTATGGGCTCAAAGTTCTAGAACAGTCCAGGTTTTCTTTCACTCAAATGATGGGTTCTAGCACATTCTGCTATTAAAACAGCCACTTCCCCCATCCGCAGCACTCTCAGGTCAATGGGGCACAACGACCTGGTGAGGCAGCCAGTGTAATTACTCTGAGCTCCATTTTACAAATGAAGAAACTGAGGCTCAGGGAGGTTAAATAGCCTGCCATGTCAATAAACTCCAGTGTCTCCCTATTAGCTCTAGGATTAAATATAAAATGTCCTTTTTGGCTTTTAAAGCCCTGCATAATCTGGTCCCTTCCTACCTTTCCAATCTTTTTGTACCTTACTCCCCCCTCCACATCCTTTTCCATTCAGTGACACTGACCTCCTGCCTAATCCACGAACAAGACCCTCCATCTCTTGGTTCTGGCTGCCCCCGGCTGAGACACTCTCCCTCCTCATCTTTCCCTCCTGGTCATCCTGGCTTTCCTCAAGAGTCGAAGTTAAAATCTCATCTTTCCCAGTTCTTCATTGCAGTACCTTCCCTCCAAGATCACCTCCAATTCACCCTGTCTCTATCTTGTTTCTTTTTATTCATTCATTCATTCATTCATTCATTCATTCATTCATTTATTTATTTATTTATTTATATTTTTTAACTTTTTTCTCGTTTCTGCCTAATTGTCTGCAGATATCTCCTCCATGAGACTGTGAGCTCCTTGAGGGCAGGGGCAGTTTGTGTTTTGTTTTGTTTTGGTTTTTTTTCACCTTTCTCTGTATCCTCAGCACTTAGTACAGTGCCTGGCACAGTTAGTAAATGCTTGCTGATTTGACTTGCTCGGGGTCACACAGAGAATAAGTGTTAAAGCTGAGATCTGAACCCATGTCTAGCCTTTCTCCACTATGCCATGATATGATTAATGCCCACAATAAAAAGTAAGAGTTCCCATAGTAAGAGGTGCAGAGGCCACCATTCAGATAGAAATATTTCCTCGTGACCCGTCTCCTGCAAGCAATTGATAGAAGGGCTGAGGCAGAGCCAGGGCCGGCCTAGGCCCTCTGCTGCTCGGGAGTTTGTGCCCACAGACCCACAGAAGGGAGATGCATTCAATTCTTTAATGTTTCCCACTTGTGAAAGCAGGAATTGCAACCCAAGGACCAATGGCCTATTCTCCCGCATTTAGAAGAGATCTCTCTCTCAGGTGCCTTCAAAAGAATTTCTATTAAAAATAATCACTCACAAGTTGGCGGGAGACCTGAGGCCCGAAAGCTTTGAGAAAGTGGATGTGGAGATGAGGGAGTTAACAAGCACTGATGTGCTTGGCATGTATGAGGTACTAAGACTACAATGACAAAAATGAAATTGGTTTTGCCCTCCAGAGAGTCTCACTGGCTCTCACACATTTCTTTATCCACTACCTATTTCAGTTTATTGCGTCTGCCAGCTCTTTAGCTTTTGTCTTCATTTTTATGGGAAGGGCCCTTAATGCTAATTGTCGGGAGCACCTGGAGGATGGGGACTGGAGAGCTCCCCAGAGCTCCATTTCTGTGCACACCTCCCTGATATTGCTTCTGCCACCTCCCCGATCCTGGGTAGCAGGGAAACATCAAGAAAGGGATTTTACCTTCCAGTCAAACTGGGTAACTAGCTCCTCCTCTGACTCAGTGTGTCACCTCCTGTGGAAGCACTTCCCACACCTGTAATGCCCTCCTTCCTCAGATTTTCCTTTAGCATTTTATCTGGCTCTCTTCTTGGCACTCCCTACCTCATATTAGTTATCTGCATACATATATTCCTTCTAGATGTAAGCTTTCCTTGAAGGCAGGAGCTCTTTGTTTTGTCTATATCCCCACTACCTAGCATACACACTTTGAACTGAATTGAATTGAAAATTCAGTATATCATCATGGCCTAGATGATGGAACTGGAGGTGTAAACTAAGGAAGTGTCAAGATAATCTATTTTTTTTTAAGGCAATTGGGGTTAAGTGACTTGCCCAGGGTCACACAGCTAGTAAGTGTCAAGTGTTTGGTCTGAGGTCAGATTTGAACTCAGGTCCTCCTGACTTCAGGGCTAGTGCTCTATCCACTGCGCCATCTAGTTGCCCCTTGGATAATCTATTTTTTAAAAATAAAATATTAAGGGAAGCAAACACCAGTGTAGAATAAATTCCATGTAGAATATAAGCTCCTTGAAGGCAGGAATCACTTTCATTTTAGAATTGTATCCCCAGTGCCTAGCACAGTAACCCTGAGCACAGTAGGTACTTAGTAAAGATTTGTCGAATTTTATTTCATAGAATGTATCTTAAAGTTTTAAACAGAAAATACCAAGAGAAGGCTCAGATGATGATACTAACCTGGGGGCCCGGAGGCCCAGGGGGGCCAAGGGATTCTTGAATACATGGAGACTGGGTTGTCTGTAGCTCGAGAAAGAAATTTGGCATATCCGGGGACAGAAGCTTCAATAGAAAACAATATACAGGATGAAAGGTTAGAGCCAGAGTCCAAGTCACAGGGTCTCCAACTCATTAGATGGACCTACTCAAGAATTAGCCAGTTACCCTGGCTGGTTTCCAGCCTCCTGCTGCCACACCTGTATTCCGCCATCTTTTGTGTTCCTGGGATATTTAAAACCCAGGATGGCTGTCCTGGATGGCCAATGGCAACTTTTGAAGAAGTTAGGAATGTACATGTGTTACAAGGGTTTAGTTTTTCTTTTCTTTTTCTTTCTTTTTCATTGGTGGGGAGGGGTCAGGAGGGAGAGAAAATCAGTGTTTGCTCATTGAGAAAAGAATGTTTTAAACAAGTTAGGGAACATGTTGCAGTCTCCCTCACACCAAACCTGGGAACTTCCCGAATGGCCTAAGAGCCCCAAGGAGGGGCGCACACACACATCTCCATAGTTACATATTCCTTTTCATCCAGAGGGCCCTAATCTCAGATGGTGTCCCCAGGCAGCAGGAATGGGAAACTGGGATGAGTCAGTGTCCTTTGTCTCCCTAAAATGGTTGTTATGTTTCAGCAATAAGAGAATTTTACTGGCCAGTTGATACTTAAGGCAAAAAAAAAAAAAAAAAAGAGGCAAAGAAGGGGAAATTCTGCTTCTGAGGTAAAGCTGACTGGAGCTGAGAAAATGGAAAGTTATAGGTAGACTTGACTTCTTCTCAGGGGCATCGGCCCCAGAAAGACACTGATGACTTTACAACTCAGATTAACAAATGAGAAGAAATTTCCTGCAACCGTTGATGTCTTTAACAGGAAGCCCCCAAATCCCCTAAACTCATGGAGAGACAAGCCAACGCCCAAAACTATAGAACACATCTACTTTTAGGGACCAAGCTGAAGAGCTGAGGTAGCAATGTCTTTATACTGATCAGGAAAAGTCACTGGGAACAGAGAGCTTTTTGTCTGATGAGGAATCCTGCAACTTCCTCCTCAAACAAGTCCCAAGATACTCACAGAATTCCGGCCCTCTCTGAAAAATGGTGGTGGAAACATGGGCGGAGGAGGAGGGGTCAACAGGCAGCATCCTTTCTGACTACCCCGTTTCTTCTCTTCCAAACCGGGAAGGGCTGTGCAAAGAAAGCTGTCACTCAGTGCCAGGGTGTGGGAAAGAAGGGTTAGAGTCAGGGTACTGTGCTTTACAATAGGCAGTATAGACATACTAAGGAAACCATCCTGTCTTCCTTCCTACAGTCATCAGGGGACCTATTTCACTGGATTTCGACCCATTGGGATCAGACCATCTATCTGACTCATAAAATGCTTCATAACCTGCCTAGGCTTGATTAGGAGGTTTAACAAATATATTGATCAATTTGGTCAATATGTGCTAATTACATCCCCAATAAATATTTATTTTTTATTTTACATACAAAAAACCCCCAACCAACAATAGCATCAAGGGGCTCATAGTAACAATAAAGACGATTACTCACAGCATTTAAAGACTGACAAAGCACTTCCCAAAACAGTGGTAAAAATATTAACATTTAACATATGAGACTTAAAGAAGTTAGGTGATTTGTCCAAGGTCACACAGACAGTAAATGGCACAGCTGAGACTCCAACCTTACCCTCCTGACTACAAGTCCAAAGCTCTTTCCACTATTTCATTCAATTCGACAAACTTTTACTAAGTGCCTACTATGTGCCAGGTACTACATTGTGCTGTTTAAAACCTGGTGGGGATAAGCGCTGTACACAAATAATATCAGTACAAGGC